CACTTTAAAATGGATTGAGTATATTGTTTATGAACAATTGGCAAACTATGTAGTGATCTATAAGCACTAGTATCAGATGGCTAAACAGCACCTAATATATAGCTTCATTTTGTATTTTTCACTGGCCTAGAAGCTCAGAGATGTCAGAAACAGAATACATTTGTATTTTAACAGGACACTTTTTTTTCTTACAGTATTAGAGATTGAACCCAGGGCCTAACAAATGCTAGGCAAATGTTTTAGTATAGGGCTATACTCCCAGTCTTTTTTATTTTTTACTTTGAGAAAAGGACTTGCTAAACTGCCCAGGCTGGCCTCAAACTTATGATATTTCTGCCTCAACCTCCCAAGTCGCTGGGATTAGGTGTGTCACAGTGCCTGGCTAACAGAACACTTCTTGATACTTAGTAATACAAGGTTAGATGATATAAAACAGCATGTGGGATTCATAACTATATTTTACTCTAAAATGTTAATTAATGTTAACATAATGATAGGCTACTAATATATAGCATTGCTCTACCAGTGACCTAACATGAAAACACAGACATCATGTTTATCAAACACATCAATAATACAAAGATATGAGGAATGATCGAGAGGCTAAAAAACACTGTCATACTAAAAATAATAAGTCAAAACTAATAGGATGATAACTACAGGGATAAATGTAAAGTTTTCAATTATGTTTAAAAAACTGTGGGCCGGGGATTTGGCTCAGTGGTGCTGCCACCTGCCTCATAAGCCCAAGGTCCTGAGTTCAATCCCCAATACCAAAAAAAACCCACCAACTGTACAAATTCATATGACTTTAGACTTTATGAATAGCAGTAAAGAGTGAAGAAAAAAAAGATGTTATGATCTCCTTAACCCTATATTTTGTGTTGGTTACACTGTATCTGAGATGCTATCTTCATATCTAGATAAGGAACTCTAAAAAAACTCAGGCAACTAAGTTGATAAAAAAGCTGAACTTTATTTAAAATGTCATCTAAGGAAAAACAGAAGACGTTGGAGTATTTATCCAGAGAGAGATGTCTTAATGGGGCTTTAAGTGTCATCAAATATTTGAAGTCTATGATGTTGACAGAGAATTGGTTTTATTGAGTGTGGCTTCAGATGACAGAACTCCAATAACGGTGCTGGCTTCAATAGCACATAAACTAGAACTCCAATAATGAATGGAACAGGTTATCCGTGAAGTGGGGTTCTCTTCCTTACAGCATTCAGACATTAAAAGATCATCCATCAAGGATTTCAAATATGATGTGTACTTCATGAATGTACTTGATTCTAAAAGAAGCCTTGGGCCAGGGATTTAGCTCAGTGGTTCAGCCATCTGCCTCACAAGTGGAGGAACCTGAGTTTGACCCCTGGTACCAAAAAACCCCCCCAAAAACTAAAAGAAGCCTTTTACAGGAAGGCAACATTTAAAAATGAGACCATGTCAGATCCCAGTACTTTAGGGAAAAGGATATTGAGTTTGAGGCCAGCCTGGGCTACACAACAAGTTCAAGGCCAGCCTGTAATACACAGTGAGATCTTCTCTCCAAAAACAAAAAACCAAAAAACAATAGTAACTACCAAACCAAAAAAAAAAGCCAAAAACAAACAAGTAAATACATACATGGCAAGAAGCTTAAAAATTATTTTCTTGGGCCAGGGATGTAGCTCAGTGGCACAGTGCCTGCCAGGCAAGCTCAAGGCCCTATATTTGATTCCTGGTACCAAAAATTTAAAAATTAAATAAATAAATAAAATGATCTTCTTAAATTGAGTGTGGTGGTACACACCTAAATCTCAGTACTCTGGGGGACTGAGGTAGGAGGATCTCAAATTTGAACCCAGCATGGAAAATTTAGCAAGACTACCTCAAGATAAAAAATAAAAATAAAATGAGATGGGGATGTAGCTCAGTGTGAAGGCCATGGGTTCAATACCCAGTAGAGGAAAAAAGAAAAATGTTTTCTTTGACATGTTTTTAAAGTTGATAGAAGCCAGGCATGTGGTAGCACATACCTATAATCCCAGCACCTAGAAGGCTGAGGCAGGAGGATCATCATGAGTTCAAGGCCAACATTGGCCATAGTGAGTTTAAGGCCAGCCTGAAATACATAGTGAGACCTTGTCTCAAAAAAACAAAAATAAAATAGGAGATTTTTTTCATGAACTTCAAAGTCAGAACCGTTTTCAGAGAAACCAACAACAAAAGAAATGAACACTTTCTTTTTTTTAACAAATGCTATGATTATGTTTCTCAGAGACACATCTGCCCTTACCGTTAGTACCATTATCAAGGAATAGAGGACAATCATATGCCAGCCTGCGAACTGGTCCCAAGAAGATAGCTGTCTTTCCTAGGCACTCACACACCAGTGCTACTGGCTCCACCTAAAACTTCCTTGCAAGAAGAAGGCTCCTCCTTATCAGACATGGATAGGAGGCTGTGGTAACACTGACTACCTCCCACTGCAGCTTCAGAAAATTTAGTCTTGACATGCACAAAACAATAACTTCAGACCAGCTGTGTTCAGGCAGAGCCAGGGAATTTACTCTGGGAAAAGCAGTAACTTAAGAGTTGTCAGAAATAATAATTTCCATTTGGGGTTAGAGGTGAGGACAGGAAAGAGAACAAGATACAGTAAACGGCAGCTATTAACATTTCAAACTCATAGTAAACAAAGGTGTTTAAAAATTACAACACTGAAACCACCAGAGTGTAAACTTTGTTCCACAAATTGAAAGATGTGCAGTGTTATTCTCTAGCTCTCTGCTGGGTGGTAACACTAGTGAGAAAAAAAAAGTCTTAATATGCCCAAGTAAAAGCCCTCACAAATTCTAGACTAGAAGACCAAAACAACAAGGGACTGTGCTCTCTCCCATCGTATTTTTTTTTTCCTGCTGCCAAGCAAACTGTGAAAATGTTCTGAATGTCCTATGGTAATGTTCTTAATGTGAAATACTGGAACTCAATTCAGTAGTTAACGCTAAAGAGTCAGTAATTAATTGGTCTCAGTGTGCTGTAGGAGCAATGTCCTGGCCAAGAGGAAAGCTTGAAACGGTTGCCGAAAACCAAAGGTTAATACAAAAATTATATAGTCTGGTTTCTCTTCATATATTAGCCTTATATTGGTATTTCAGACATTATTTCAATTCTCAAAAGCAAAAGGAGAAGGAATGTAAAAAAAAAATCTACAAAATAGTAAACGAGTTATTAATTGGCTGTGTAATTCATTATTAAATGATACATAACTATTAAACAAAGGCCAAAGGCCTGTCTGTAATACAGAATTAAATGCAAACTGGCAAGACTACTTAGCATAGCTGCCAAACTTTTCTTTAGCTTCTTTTCTTACAGACACGCTACATTTCACAATAGCCTCCACTTACCTTACATCTCCACATTTAAATACAAATTGTGTTTGATTTCCCCAACCTTTGCCCTATGATATTATGATATGTCTTTAGAGTCTGGATACACGTGAAAAAAATTGAAAAAAAAAATTCACTTTCCTGAAATATGTGTACATTTTACAGTATTTAAAAATAAATAAGCTAATTAAAACTAAATACAACCATCCATTTAATAACTTTTCAAGAATGAGTGATGCCACACTTAAATGGAAAAAATTTCATTTTAGTATATTTGTACTTAGAATGTCTACAAAGATTGCTGTTTCTACAGAAATTACATTACTGCAAAATTTTAAACATAGAAATCAAGTGAGCTTGCTGAGGAAAACCTGCACACCTCCACAAACTTACACTTAATGTGACAGGACCGTAAGAGATGTTAAAACACCCTCTGTTAAGTAGAAAACAAACTTTTAAAGTTGGGTAAGTAGCAACGAGGGAATCTGGGCTGGAGGTTCCCTGGGTAGTAAATACCCCAGTGAGAGAACATAACAAGCAATTCAGAGCAACATATAAGTCCCTTTGGGGCTCCAACTTGGACTGCTTAAGTCCCAACCAAGCCCACATCCCTGTGTTCTGGAAGAGATAAAATTTGGGAAGGGGAATGGAAGGAGAAAATCAGAGAAGTGTTGAGTGTTCTATTTCTCTCATTCTAGAGCCCAGCATTTTTCCAAGTTGGTCATCAGACTGGGTGTCATAACCACCAAAAGTCCTAAGTCAACAGCACAGCCTCCGTCCTTAGGCTAAAGACCTGTGCATCTCAGACGTCTCTCTTCCAAACACCTCCCTTACTTCTCTCCATTCCCACACTATTCCTAAAGTCATGCATTCTGGCGACTCAACTCATCCACACTGCGCTCCTAAACTCATTCACTTAATAATTCTCTTCAAATCCAAACTTTCTCTACTATCATGCCTCTGATATTTTTACTCAATCGAAATGTCACCACGCTCATTTCCAATGATCTATCCCTACCTATCTTTGCAGCCAAGCCCAAAGTATGCTTTCACCAGATCAAGGTCCTTGTTTTCACCTACTCATCCTTACCTCCTGCCAAGTACTCCTGCCCTTTCCAATGCCAAACCCCTAACCCCATTCTTTGGAAAGTCCTGACTATTCAACCTAGTTTAGTGGTCCACTTTCTCTCATCCCACCCCATTCCACGATCCTTCCTTTTGGCTCCACTAAACTACCCTTCTCTCAGAATTCAATTCCCCTCTCCTTGCCACGCCCTGTGCCCCCCGGGGCTACTTACCCCAAGTTCTCCCCACACTTCAGGCCTCTGGCCCCGCCTTCCCCCCCAAAAGAAGGAGGCGGGAGGAGGGAGAGAAGAGGGGCGGCACGCCCCAAGATAAAAATGATCTTTCATTAGCGCTCATCGCCGCCAATCGTGCCTTCCTTCTCCCTTACTGGTCATTTTAGTCTATGCCCCACCCTCTTCCTCAGACAGGGCCCGGCCACCGCCTCAGCGCCCCCCGTCCAACAGACTGGGAGGGGAGACCCCGGCCCGGGACGCTGGGACTGGCCAGACTTGAAGGGGAAACTCCTGTCAGATCACGGACTAGCTTATATTAATAGGACTTACCCGCTGGTAGCTCCGTCGCCTACTGCCCGCCCGCGCTCTGCCCCACAGTCTGTCTCCAGCTCCTCCTTTCCCCCCCTCAGCGGAGCAGATACTTTCCTCCCGTCCAGCCAGGATCGCTCACCTCTCGCGAGAGAAGGGGGGAGGGGCAGGGCGAGATTCAAGGGGGCTGAGTTGGAAAGGGACTGAGGGGCGGGGCTTACTGTGGGCCGGGCCCGGGTGGAAGGCCGAGCGCAAACTGTATACAAGGGTCACACGTGTTGGGGGGGGGGGAGGTGTGTGCGTGCGTGTGTGAGTGTGTGTGTGTGTGCGCGCTCGCTCGCTTTATAGGTGCTTGTAGTGAAGATCCAAAAGGTGAAGCAGATACTCTAGAGCAGTGATTGCGAACCTTTTAGAGCTTTCAATGATAAACAGCCGGCAGCGCCGCGCGTGCACTGCCCTAGAGAATGAGATTATCTCAGGGAGCAAAGTTTAAAAACAACATAACATTATACCTGAGTAAAGCTGTTAGGGCAGAGGGGGTCAGTAAGCAAATCAAGTTAAACAAGGGAATTCAGGATTCCAAACAAGTGAGTAGTTGTATTTTCTTCTACACTTAGAGTACAACCAGTGTGCCTTAAACTCTGCTCTGTGTGACTGTGGGGAGGGGTGGGGGAATGAGGGAGGTGGGGATAGATCAGCTTCAGGAACTGGCTACGTGTTTTGTTTATATGTATGTTTGTTCTTTTTTCAGTACCGGGGGTGAAACCCAGGGGTGCTTTACCACTGAGCTACAGTACATTCCCAGCCCTTTCTTAATTATTATTATTACAATCATTATTTTGAGAGAGGGTCTCGCTAAATTGTCCTGGCTGGTCTCAAACTCATCATCCTCCTGCCTTAGCCTTCCCAGTAGCTGGAATTATAGGCACGTGCCACTGTGCCCATCAGGAACTGGCTACTTTTTAAAAAAAATATGAAGTTTGTTTCTACTACCCTTCAGAGTCAGCATTTCCTTAATGGCAAAGTAATTTAAAATACCCTTAGCCCTAGAACTAGAGTGAATGTATTGGAAAAAAGCAGTCCCACCACCACAGCTGTGCTGCTGTTTTACAAACTGTGTCCTGGGGTGCGATGCTTCTCTGTGGCTCTGTATAGTGGGGCTAGCAAGCCCATTTTAGTCAGAATTGTAATGATCAAATGAGATACATGAAACTGCTTGGCAATTTAAAAAAACACTGTAAGACTGGCTGCGGTTGTAGCTTAGTGGTATAGTGCTTCTTTAGTACCCTCAAGGCCCTGGGTTCAATCCCCAGCAATGCAAAAACAAACAAATTATTACTATAATTGTTATTCAGGAAATATTTAATAAAAGTTGACAGCAAAGGACTACAGTATTCCAGTCATGTGAAGATCAGACACATCTGGTCCCTCCTGTGGTAGAATTTATTTTTTAGTGTTGAGAGGGAGATAGTTAATAAGTCAATAAATGCAAATATTTCAAAAAGTATAGTGTATCAGGCTTGGTGTCACACACCTGTAATCCCAGCACCCTGGAGGCTGAGGGAGGAGGATCGCTGGGAGTTTGAGGCCAGCCTGGGGTACATAATGAGTTCAAGGCCAACCTGAACTACATAGTAAGACCCTGTTTCAAAAGAGAAATTAAAAAAAAGAGGAAGAGGAAAGAGGAGGATGAGAAAAAGTAGGAGAAATTACTCCTAGTGTTGACAGAATGGTTCTTTGAGAAAGTAACATTTTTTTTCCTAGACCTGTAGAATTGAACCCAAGGAGCTCACACAATCCAGGAGAAAGTAACATTTAAACTAAAAGTTGAATTATGAAGAGACAGCCTTGAGATTTTTCAGAGAAGCATCAAATACAAAGGATGTCTTAAAAATTTTTTTATCATATACTTAATATAGTAAATTTTGGGCTTGGGAATGTCCCTCAGTGGTAGAGTGCTTGTATAGTATGTACTAAGGGTATGGATTTGATCCACATCACCACCACCCCCAGTATTAAATTTTATGTATATTTTACTACAAATAAAAAATTTAAATAGTAAATAAATTATAAGGAAAGTTGACTTAAAATATTATCCCGGAAATCTTGGTTGTCATCTTTTGCAGCTTTATGTTTATTCAGCTTTCTGAATTTATGCCTAGGATCTCATCTATCTTCCCAGCACAGTCTGAGAGATGAGAAGAATCCAGATGATTTCTTCCAAGAAGCAAAAGTCAAACAGGTATAGAATCACTTGAATTCTTGTGAATTGAGAGATACACTGTGTTTGTGTGTTGTGCCAGAGCCTTCACAATACGTTACATCCCCAAACCTTTTTGTGTGTGTGTTTTATTTTGAGATAAGGTCTTGCTAAGTTGCCCATGTTGAGCTCAAACTTTTGATCCTCCTGCCTCAGCCTCCCAAAGAACTGAAATTACAGGCCTATGCCAAAAGGCCTGTCTTATTTGTGTTCTTATTAATTATTAAATTATAAGTTTTTTTATGGTGCCGGGGGTTGCACCAGGTTCTCCTGCATACTGAGTAACCATGCTTCTACTCCCATCCCTAAGGTTCTTTTTAAATTTTTATTTAACTTTTTAATTGTCACATAAAAATTGGGACATATATGGGGTCTTTTCTTTTTCCATGCCGCACATCAAACATGCTAGGCAAGTCTTGTACCACAGAGCTACAGCCCCAACACAGATTTTTTTCAGTATTGACGATTGAACCTAGAATCTTTGCATCACTGAGTTACATCTCCAGCCCTTTTGTAATTTTATGTTTTATTTTGAGACAGGGTCTTGCTAAATTGCCCAAGCTGGGCTGATACTTATGATCCTCCTGCCCCTCGTCCCAGAGAGCTGGGATTATAGGTATATGCCACCACGCCCAGCTCCCATCAATACTTTGATACATGTGTATATTGTATAATATTAAAATCAGGATAGACATATCTAACTCTTCAAATGTTTTTCATTTCTTTATGGTAAAAATATTCCAAATCTTTCATTTTAGTTTTTTCAAAATATACAGTATATTATCATTACCTATAGTCCCCCTACTGTGCAGTGAACACCAGAAATTATTTCTCCTATGTAATTATAACTTAGTACCTTTTTTTTTTGAGACAGGGTCTCACTGTGTAGTTCAGATTGGCCTTAGACTTACTATGTAGCCCAAACTGGCCTTGAATTTACAGCAGTCCCCTTGCCTCAGCCTCCCAAGTGGTGGGATTACAGGTGTGTGCCACCACACCCAGCTAATTTAGTACTTATTAATGAACCTTTCCTTGGGCCAGGGATTTAGCTCAGTGGTTCTGATGCTTGCCTTGAAAGAGCAAGGTCCTGAGTTCAATGCCCCGTACAAAAAAAGAAAAAAAAAAAAATCAACCTTTCCTCATTCCTCCCTCCCCACTACTCTTACCAGCCTCTGGTAACTACTATTTTACTCTCAACTTCTGTGAGATCTGTGTTTTTAGATTCCACATAAGATTGAAATAATGCAGTAAGATTGAATAACTCTGTGTCTGGCCTGTTTTGCTTAACATAATGACCTCCAAAAAAAAAAAAAATAATGACCTCCAGATCCAACCATATTTTCACAACTGACAAGATTTCATTCTTTTTATTGCTGACTAGTATTCCATTAAGTGTATATTCATTTTCTTTATCCCTTTATCCATTTCTTGGCTGTTGTGAATAGCACTGCAAAAAACATGGGAGTGCAGATGTCTCTTCAAAAATACAGATCTCAAGCCAGGCATGGTGGCCCATGCCTGTAATCCCAGCACTAGAGAGGCTGAGGTAGGAGGATTACCTCAAGTTAGAGGCCAGCCTGGGCTACATAGTGCGTTTAAGGCCAGCCAGAACTACATAGTGAGATCCTGTCTCAAAGAACAAACAAACAAATAACCAGATCTCATTTTCGTTTTTTTGGTTTTTATGGTACCGGGGATTAAACTTGGGTCCTTGTGCTTTCGAGGCAGGTGTCGGAACCACTGAGCTAAATCCCTGGCCCTAGATCTCAATTTTCTTTGGCTATGTGCCCAATACTGGGATTATTAGATCATAAACTCCTGGTGATACATCTACTTCAGCCTCTCAAGCGCTGGGATTACAGGCATGTGCTACCATACCCAGCTCTCATTCCAGATTTTAATATTTGAGTATATTCTTATTCTCATTCTCTCTTTCTCTTTCTTTGTCTCTGTCTCTTCAGTATTGGAGATTGAATCCATAGTCTTCACACTGACCTACCTCCCTAGCTCTTTTTATTTTTTACTTTCTCCCTAAATCACTGTCATAGCCTGCATCTAGATGTCCTCGCAAAGCCTCAAGTGCTCATAGGTGAGGCTTTTTGGAGGTGGCTGGATCTAGGGGTGTGATACTGGAATTAAAAGTGTGTGATAACTAAATTGGTTTAGCATAATTCTGGGTGTGGATATTAGAAGCCCCATCATGGATGTGGGTGGCACCAATCAATAGATTTGTAGCCTGGAAGGAATATAAAGGTACAGAAAGAAGACAGGCTTGGTGCTGCTTCCTCCTGTCTGCTCTGCCATAGACGTTTTCTCCTCTGTGTTGCTGCTCTCTATGGACTGAAATCTCTACAAACTGAGCTAAAATAAACCTTTCTTCCTTTAACTTTGTTAGGTATTTTGTCTCAGCAATGAGAGAGGTAACTAAGACAGACACTAAATTAATTGCTCAGGCTAGGCTTGAATTTGTGATCCTCAGTCTCCCAGAGTATTGGGATTACAAGTATGCACCACCACACCCAACAGTCTTCTCCCTTTTTGTCTTGGTCAGTCTAGCTAAAGTTTTTTCAATTTTGTTGATCTTTCATGGAATCAACCTTTGGATTTTTCAAATTCAATTTTTTTTTTTGGTACCGGGGATCGAACTGGGGTCCTTGCACTTTCAAGACAGGCGGCGAAACCACTGAGCTAAATCCCTGGCCCTCCATTAATTTATTTTTCCTCCATTAATTTTTAATAGGTTTTATTTTCATTTTCATTCATCTCAAGGTCCTTTTTAAATTTCTTTTGACCCATTGGTTACTTAGGAGTATGTTGTTTATTTTCCACATACTTGTGAATTTCCCATTTCCTTCTGTTACTCATTTAATTTTATTCCATTGTGATAGGAGAACATAGTTTACATTATTTAAATACTTTTAAATATATTGAGACTTTTGTTTTGGCCTAACATATCTTACAGAAGGTGTCATGTGACCCTTAAGAGAATTTGTATTCAAAGCTGGATATGGTGGCCTGCAGCTATAGTCCCAGTTACTCAGGAGGCTGAAGCAGGCATTTGCTGCCAGCCTAGGTAACATATTGAGACCTAGTTTTTTTAAAAAATTGGGTCTCGGTGCCTGCCTTGCAAGCGCAAGGACCCGAGTTCGATCCCTGGTACAAAAAAAAAAAAAAAATTGGGCCTCATTGTTGGGTGGAGTTTTCTATAGATATCTGTCAAATGTAGTTGGTTTATAGTATCATTCAAATTTTCTCTTTCCTTGTTGCTTTTCTGTCTAGGTGTTCTGTCCATTAAGTATGGAATAGTGAAGTTTCCAACTATTATCATTGATTACTTATTTCTGTTTAATTCTACCAATTTTTCCTTAATGTATTTAGGGACTCTGTTGTTAAATGCATTTATGTTTACAATTACTGTATCTTCTTGATGAATGGACTCTTTTAAAATGCCCTTCTTTGTCTCCAGTAACAATTTTTGTCTTTAAGTATTTTTTGTCTTATGTTAATATATACACTTCTGATCTCGTTTGGTTACTGTTTGCATAATTTATCTTTTTTTCATCCTTTTAGTTTCAGCCTCTATGTGTCTTTGAATCTATAGTGTGTCTCTTATACAAGACAGCATGATTTTTTTAATCCATTATGCCAATTTCTGCTTTTTAAGTGCCAATTACATATAATGTAATTACTAATAAAGTGTTATTATTATTATTTTATTGTTACTGTTTTTGAGATAGGGCCCTATTAGGTAGGTCAGGCTGGCCTTGTATTCACTATATAGCCCAGGCTGTCTTTGAACTCAGAGCAGTCCTCCTGCCTCAGCCTCCCAGGAGCCAGGATTAGAGATGTGTGCCACCATGCCTGGCAATAAAATATTATTTATATCTGCCATTTTTTTGTTTGTTTTCTGTATGTCTTGTGTCTTTCTCCATATCTTTTCCACCACTACTGCTGTCTTTTCTGTTAAATAGATATTTTCTATTTTATAGTTTAATTCCTATGTCATTTTTTTTTGGTACCGGGGATCGAACTCGGGTCCTTGCACTTGTGGGGCAGGCAGCGGAACCACCGAGCTAAATCCTTGGCCCTTTTTTTTTTTTTTAATTTCATTTTGTTTTACTATAAATTTTTTTTTTCCCAGATGGCTCTTTCTATGATCCACAGGCTGGCTTCAAACTCCTGGGCTCAGGTGATCTTCCTGCCTCAGCCTCTTGAGTAGTTAGAACTACAGTTATGCACCCCATGCATGGCTACTATATAATTTTTAATTTTTTTTTTTTGGTACCTAAGATCGAACTTGGGACCTTGAACTTGTGAGGCAGGCGGTGGCACCACTGAGCTAAATCCCCAGCCCCTGTAATTTTTAATTTTTAAAAAAGATTTTGCAGTACTGATGATTGAACCCTGGGCCCTTGCACCGAGATACATCCCCAGCCATTTAAAAATTTTTTATTTTATTTTATTTATTTATTTATTTTGGGGGGGTACTGGGGATCGAACTTGGGTCCTTGCGCTTGCAAGGCAGGCAGCAGAACCACTGAGCTAAATCCCTGGTCCTTTAAATTTTTTATTTTGAGACAGCATCTCACAAAGTTGCTAAATTGCCTTGGCTAGGCTTGAACTGGTGATCTTCTGTCTCAGTCTCCTAGAGTACTAGGATTACAGGGATCCACCACCATGCCTGGCTACTATGTACTTTTTTGAGGTTATCCTAGGTATTGCAATTAATACCTTAATTTATGACAATCTAATCTGGATTAATACTGACAATTTTAATAGTATGAAAAAACTTTGTTGTTATATAGCTTTAGTCCTCCTTTCTCCTTTGGCCTCCTATTATCACACAAATTACATGTTTCTACATTGCATGCCAATCAGTGTAGTTAAAATTATTGTCTTATATAATTGTTTTTAAAATATGATAAGAGAAAAGGAGTTACAAACAAAAATTACACTATATATATATATATATATATATTTTT